TTCTCCTCTCCTAGGGAGCTGAGAGTTCTCTTCATCAGGTCAATAGCTTTCTCTAGGATCCAGTCCGAATACAGTACCCAGCTTTCTCCCTCTTCACTTGCATGCAGGGATTTCTCCATCTCCTGCTTCCATTCTGGTTGCTTGGCCCCCCGTCTCAGGGTCACCTTTCTTGATTTCTTTTCCCACTCGCCTTTCTTTCCAATGCCCATTGACCAGTAAGGCTTGTGGTCCCGTGTCTCCACCACTTCTTCTCGTGAGGAATCTGACCTCTCGGATCCCGACATCTGGCAAGGTTCCAGTTGGGGCAGCGGCTCTCTTTCTGGGGAGTTTTTCCCCTTTCTTGCTCCATTGTCTGACATGGTAATTTTTTGCAAAAATCCCCCAGCAAGGGTCTCCCTTCCAAGTGGATTAATTTTGCAAGTCCTGTCTAATGTAAGGACCCACCCCACTTTGCATCTTAAGAAGACAGAACTCTTGGAATAGTTCTTTCAACAGGCATCCTTTATTAAGAGAAAATGTTTGCAGGCGTTCTAGACAGGACTTGGGGTCCAAGCTCTCCCATTCAAGGTTTTAAGGGGTTTCCCAGTAGCCCCACCCAATCACCCCCTTCTTCCAGCGACAGTCTCAGGCATTACACTCCCACCCCCTTTTCCTTACTGCCGGCTGGAGGGAGACTTCAGAGAGGAGTACATGAAAGGTAATAACCCCATTGTTATGGTTAGTCCTTTTGGTGATATCCACATCCACTCTCTTTGAAGTGTACTAAAGGAAGTGAAGGCCATAAAGCCCTTTTGTTCACCCCCTTCCCTTCATCGTATGACAGAATCCAGAGAAGGCAGAAATGGGGTTTTCTATAGTTGATAACTAGAGATGAAATATAATTGGATTCTGACAGATTGGCTGCACCTCACAAGAATTGAGAAGAATACATTTGGAAAATGACTGGCTCAGTTATTTGAAGAGCTTTAAACTAAAATTGAGGGGGAGGTAGGTGGCCAGTTGTTTGAATACTTAGGATCTAATCCCAAGCATAAATCCCAGGACAATGAAACAAACAATGAGGTAGGGAGTGATGGGAAGGAAGAAAAGCTAAAGTAAGAGGAACAAACAGGGTGAACTTAAAGAACTAGTACATGTGGGCAGGCATGATATAGTTGCCATTATTGAAACTTGGTGGGATGAAACTCATAACTGGAATCTATGGATGGAAGCATATAAACTGTTCAAAAGAAAGAGACCTAACAAAAGAGGTGGTAGAGTTTTATTATATGTAAGAGTTCACTATACAAAAATGTATACAACCAAGGATGAAAGTCTACTAGAATGCATATGGATTAATATAAAAGGAAAAAAGAATGATACTATCATAGATGTACTGTATGCTAAAGGCCACCAACCAAGCAGATGCTGATCAGTTAACTAATGTATGTAGGAAGCAAACCACCGTAGTAATGAGGGACTGATATCAATTGGGAGACAAATGCTTCAAGTAGAAATCAAACAGGTTTCTGGTAAGTCTACCTGACAATGTTGTCATTTAAAAGATAGAGGAGGTAACTAGAGAGTCAACTATACTAGACTTAATTCTTACTAACAGAGAAGAAATGATAGAGAGGGTTGAAGTTTCAGGAAATTTGGGGGAGAATGACCATATTATTTTGGAATTCAATATAATGTAGACACAAGCAATAGAACAAAATCAAACTGGTGTCTTAGACTTTAAAAGAGCTGATTCTAACGAACCTAGAGAGAGAGCTTGGGAAGGGTTCCATGGGTGAAAATCTTAAAGGGAAAAACAACTCAGGAAGCTTAGGACACTCTGAAAAAAAATTGATTATAAAAGCCCAATCCAGCACAATACCACAGAAAAAGAAAAGTAAGTAATCCAAGAAGAAACCAGCAAGTTTGAACAAAAAAAATCTCTGATAATCTAAAAGACAAAAAGGACAAATATAAAAAATGGGAAAAGGGACATATAACTAAGGCAGAATATCAGTAGAGAGCCCAAATATGCAAAGATGAAGTCAAGAAAGCTAAGGCTCAGAATGAAATATGAATTGCAAAAAATGTCAAATATAATAGTTAAAACTTTGAGGATGAAGGTTCATTCTCCGAGCTTGTGGGTTGGTTTCCAGGCTAGATAACATCTTCAACGGAATTTAGGGGATGTCAGTGTCGGTGTTCTTCTGTTTAAAAGGTCATCATATGGTCAAGGATCTTGTGATTGGTCATGTATGGATGTGTCAAGTGGGGGGGTTCTTGTGATGGGTCTTGTGATGAGGTTACATCTAAAAAAATCAAGGAAATAATAAGTACGCTAATGGGAGAATATGACAAAGAAATGGTAGGATGCAAGGAGAATGCAGAGCTGCTTAATTCATTTTTTGCATCTGTCTTTACACAAAAAACAAATGGGCTAGAGATACTAATTAAATAGGTAAGGAAATGGTACGAGAACACCTGTCCATTCTAGACAAGTTCAAATAACTAAGACCTGATTGGTTACATCCCAGAGTTTTAAAAGAGCTGACAGAGGTGACTTCAGAACCACTGAACCATTCAAAGATCCTGGAGCACTGGTGAACTACCAGAGGACTGGAAAAGCACTGATGTGGTTCCCATCTTCAAAAGGGGGGGGGAATAGATCCAGGAACTACAGATCAATCAGTCTGACATCATTACCTGTAAAGATCCTGGAAAATATAACACTGTAACCTAATTTTTGTTCCTGGCTTTTCAGTGTTATATTTCAAATGCTTATGTCTAAAGCTATGCAAAAAGGGCTATATACATCACAAATTTTGATTTGAGACTACAACCTACAAAAGTTTCATATTTATAGACAAAACAGAATTTTTATCTTTATGAGCAATTAAAGAATAATATATGGGAAATAAACAGACAGTCAAAACCACTCAAAAAGATTCAGAAACAGTAGATTTTCTAGATTTGTGGCTATACCACAAATTGCTTTCTTGAAGAAGCCCCCAAATACAGTCTCCCATCATGTTTTCATTATACTTTTCTTGGTAATGATGTTCAAAATCCAATATATCCTAGAGAAAGTGCTCGCCTTGCCCCTCTGAGTAAGCACCCATGTTCTCCTTGAATTTATGAAGATGACCCTCAAAGGGTCATTCTGCATCCCATTTGAGGGACATTCTGCATCCCATTCTGAACCAATTGCTCATAGTTTTCAGCCTTATGATTGCCCAGAAAGTTATGACTACTACATTGAAACTGTTCCAAGCTACTTTTTCTATCCTGTTCAACTTCTTGGCAAATTTATCACACACCATAAATTTCTTTATCTATGGTCTGGTAAAGATACCAGCTTTAATCTTTGCCTCCAACAGCTGTGGAAATAGATCTTGGAGGAGCTTGAAAGGTGCCAACTCCTACTGTAGAACCGTGACAAATTATTTGATTAGTCCTAACTTGATGTGCAGTAGTGGCCTCAACATCTTCCAAGGTCTACCAGTGGCTCCCACTTTATGTTGTTCTTTCCTATGGAGAACTCAGTCTGCTGTGGTTAGTCCTTTCTGTTATAATGCACCTTAGTGTCCTGACTGTCCCAGAGGCAAAGAAAACAAGGAAACTTTGTAAAACCACCTTGGAGACTCATGAGGAATTACACCATTTTGAAGTCTCCAATAATCTCCCAGCCATACTCATCATACCTCAAGGCACTCAGCAACATCTTGAAACTGGTGTAGTCCTCTTTGAGATACACAGAATGAGCCATGGGGAGAGATGAGTACTTGTTTCTATTATGAAACAGCATAGCTTTGACGATCCTGGATTCTATGAAAAGGCGCCATTCACTTGGGCTACAATGATTCCTATAGCCTCAAATAGACCAGCCACATTGTTGCAGAAGCACAGCCCATCTTGCCAACTGAAGAAGTTGGAAAAACATTGGTGATGCTTTCTCTGATCTGTGACTTGTACCCTGTCATCCAACAACTTCCACTCCTTGAGACTAGATATCAGAAGCTCAATATAGGACTTGGTCTGATCAAATAATTGAGGTCTTTCTGATTGGGGGAAGTATGGCTTTCTCTCCTCAGCCACATCTGTGAAATTGTATTCTGTATCTACAATATCTTCTTTGCTATCTGATTTGCTTCTCTCTCCTGAAGATGGGTTGATCTCTCTCTGAAGGGATGGGAATGGGGAGCTCAGGGCAATGTGGAACTGAGGTGATAAATGAAGGAATGTCTGGATATATGATAGGGGGTGCACTCTTGCACAATTGGAAGGGTCCATCTTGTAGAAGTAGCAGTTACGTGAGTGATAAGTTGGTTCCCACCAAATTCTTGGAATAACAAACTTATGGTTCTCTTTTTTCCCTCTGTATCAGCCTGTAAATAGAGCAGAATTATATAAGTTTTTTAAAATTGGTATTTTACACATTACCTAATATTGTGCAAGGTATTATCATAGGGCATAAAATGTGTATCATAGTCTGTTTTTTCCTAGAACATTGAAAATAGTGAAACTTTTCTTGCAACTCTTTTAAATGGTAATCACTGAAATTCCATCAAGGGTGCAGCAATTGTTCACCGTACCTTCAAGATTTTTGTTGCAATGTTCACATGTGAAATGAGGTGCTCAGTGCTTGTCTTGATGCCCGAGAGGCAAGTCAAAGTATGTTTTATAGGCCTCACACATCTTAACAGACGTTTTCACAGAGTACTTTTTCACTTTTATTTTGATAAATTGTCCACACACATAGCAAAATACATTGGCTGGCTGCAAGCTACCTCTTGATGCCATCTAAATCAAATATTGCTATTCATTATTCTCTTACTCAGCAATTAGATAAGCTAAAATGTTAATTTAAGACACCTGTACTTCTATATTTCTATGGATAATATTGGATAGTCCCAGAAAGTGCTAAAAGTTCTAGAAGATTCCAGGAAGTTCTAGAAAATTCTAGCCAATTCTAGAAAATTCTGGACAGTTCTCACAGTTCTTTTTTTAAACTCTTGCATTAGATTTTGAAGACCACAATCAACTTTTAATTGATGAGAATGCTTCTATGAAGAAACATCTCCAAAATTTTAACAAGATGCGAGAAATAACAAACATGTTACAGGAAAGCCATAGGTAAGGTAGCTGATACTAAATCCCACATTTTGCTCTTACATGCTAATATTTAACAGTGTTTTTGCATCCCAGAAATCTCATCACATTCTTCAGCTCCATCCACCCAAAATTATTTATTTACTTACTTACTTTATTCAACTTAGCTGTCACTCATTTCCAATTGACTTTGACCAGTTCATAACCTAAAAGCAAAGCAACACAATGCAGTCAGAAGGATAAAACATACAATATAACAATAAAGAAAATGACAAATCCACTCTTCCTATTCTTACCTGCTCCTATTCCATTCAGTCAGGAATACTTCTATATTCATACACAATTTTTCACTAGTTTGTTCTAGTACTTAAAGTGGTGGACTACAACAGAAAAACCTACCACTCAAACTCACTTAGCTTAGGAAGAAGGCAATGGAAGAAGGCCACTTCCAAAAATGTTGAGAAAACTGCATAGATTTGTCCTTGTACTTGACAAGAATTTGATTGATTCAAAGACATAGAAAACACACACAAAAATATACCTTTCCATAAACTACCACAGGCTGATAAAAAACAAATGAGAATATGTATGTATGTTTGTGTTTGAAGAAAACATACTGTTGTGCAGTGACTTTGCAATCACAGTCTGGAAGAGCAGAGTCTAGCTCAAAGGAGGCAATGGAAATCCATTGTTGTAATAACTATGGGTATTATTCTGTGATGCCAGTCAGTTTGTGACAGTGCTCGCCTTCAAAGCTGATGGAGTTTCATAACATAAGAATCACCAGCAGATTCTGACAGCATCCACCACTTATAGTGACCTTTACTAAATGTCACAGTAGGATATCACAGCTTCTTTGTAAGCTGGCATGGACAATCTCAAGGTCTCTTCCCAATCTTCAATATACTATAGAACAGTGATGGTGAACCTTTTAGAGACTGAGTGCCCAAACTGCAACCCAAAATCCACTTATGTATTGTTGGGTGCTGGGTGGGCGTGTCCTATTGGGTAGGTGTGGCTTCGGTGGCAACAGCAGACTGGGTGGGGCTAAAAAGTTCAATTAATCAATTCCAACTTTGCAAGATCTTTTTTTTCCCATGAGAAGTTGAAATAGACTGATAGATTGAAACTTTTTTTTGTACACAGCGGCGGAGGCCTAAAGCAAAAAGGTTTTATAAAACCCGCTGAAGGCCTAGGGCTGGGGCGATGGCACACATGCCCACAGATAGGCTCTGAGTGCCACCTCTGGTTCGCCACCACTGCTATAGAACAATTGGCAAGGCCTATGGTGGTCAGCCATTCTGATGACATATTGTAAGGACCCACCCCACTTTGCATCTTAAGAAGACAGAACTCTTGGAATAATTCTTCCAACAGGAATCCTTTATTAAGAGAAAATGGTTGCAGGCATGCTAGACAGGACTTGGGGTTCAAGCTCTCCCATTCAAGGTTTTAAGGGGTTCCCCAGTAGTCCCACCCAATCAACCCCCCTTCCAGTGATAGTTTCAAGTATCACAATTCCACCCCCTTTCTTCTTTCTTCCGTCTGGATGGAGACTTCAGGTAACTACATGAAAGGCAAATACCCTGCTTTGTTATGATAAGGTCCTCTAGTGCTAACGCTTTGATGTTACAATAAACACACATTCAGCATTCAGCTCTTTGAAGTGTACTGAAGGAAGTGAGGGCCATAAAGCCCCTTTGTTCTCCCCCTTCTCTCCCTCTGATGGCAGAATCCAGAGAAGGCAGAATTGGGAGTTTCTATATTTGATAATTAAAGATGAAATATAATTGGATTCTGACATCCGGCCCCTCTTAACAATAAGAGAGATCCACCTGCAAGAAAACAAAACAGGTATAAAAGTTAGTTAGGCTTGTTGGGATACTCTGTGTGAAACTTCTTCAATAGTTTCGGGGCTCTGACATGACGTTTATGGACCCACTCGTTTTGTGAGGCAGGGAGGTGTTTCCAGGCAACTAGGTACTGAGTTGCTCCATGATATCTCCTAGAGTCAAGGACTTCCTTTATTTCGAAGTGTTGTTCACCCTCCACCATGATTGGAGGTGGTGGGGGGGGGGATTTTTGGCCGTAGAGGTGACTGATGCTCTCTTTTCAGCAAGCTGCAATGAAAAATTGGGTGTATTTGCCTGAGATTTTTGGGTAATTCTAATTCTACTGTTACTGGATTTATGATTCTTTTAATTGGAAAAGGTCCTATATATTTTGGTCCAAGTTTTTTACAGGGCTGTAGGGACTTTAGGTATTTTGTAGATAAGTACACCATTTCTCCTATAATGAATGGTGTAGGCTCAACCCTTTTTTTATCGGCTTGTGCTTTGTATGCCCGCCTAGCTTCATCTAGTGATTTTCTGACTATTGGCCAGGTGTTTTGTAGGTTTTCCATCCATTCTTTCAGTGAAGGGATCGTTGGTTCTTTTGGGGTTAACTCTGGCATAGGGTTGAAACTTTGACCGTTGGCTATTTGAAAAGGAGTGTAGCCTGTGCTGGAGTGGACTGCATTATTGTAGGCAACTTCTGCAAAAGGAAGTAAGTCCGTCCAATCACTCTGTTGGAAATTTAAAAAACATCTCAAATATTGCTCAAGTACCGACTGGCACCGTTCCGCTTGTCCATCCCCTTGAGGGTGGTGGCTAGATGTCAATCCCTGAGTGGTCCCTAAGAGGGATAAAAATTCCTTCCAAAATGCAGACGTAAATTGCACTCCCCTATCAGAGATGATGCGTTGGGGTGCCCCGTGCAATCTGTAAATGTGCTGGATGAAAAGTTTTGCTAAGGCCTTTGCAGTGGGAATTTTTTGGCAAGGGATAAAGTGCACCTGTTTGGAAAATAGGTCCGTGACTGTCCAGATAACAGTATTCCCATTGCTTTCAGGCAATTCCACTATAAAATCCATGGCTATTTCCCTCCAGGGGGCTGAGGGACTTGCCACTGGTTGTAACAGCCCTGGCGATTTCCCTTGCAACCTCTTTGCTGATGCACAGGTTGGGCAGCTGGCAACATAACTTTCTATGTCCTTTTTTATTGATGGCCACCAAAATTGCCGTTTAATTAAGTGTAAAGTTTTTACAAATCCAAAATGCCCTGCTGATTTTGTGTCATGGCAAAGGTGCATGAAAGTTAGTCTTTGAGTTGTTGGTATATATAACTTTTCCCCTACCCAAGGCAATCCGTCTCTCATTGTGCACACATGTTTGTTTTTCTGGAACCATTCATCTGTTTCCAAACTTTTTCTGAATTCAATCCCAGTTTGGCTGTCCAGTTGTGGTTTTATTTTGGCTTGGGTTCTTGTGGTTACTGGTGCTGCCAGTTGTGACTCTGCCATTATTGGTCTAGAGTCTGTGGTTCCTGCGCTGTTATATTGGGACATGCGAGATTGGTGAAAATGCTGGGACCAGCGGGCTTGTTTGGGATTGAGTTTCCTGGAAGGTTTCAGGGCTTCTAAATTTTTGTGATCAGTCCACACCTGGAAGGGGATTTTGTTGCCTTCCAGGAACTGTCGCCACGTGAGTAATGCCCAACGTATCCCATAAGCCTCCTTCTCCCATACGGGCCAGCGCTGTTCTGTTTCCGTGAGTTTCTTGGATGTATATGCACAGGGTTGCAATACTGCATCATCATTTTCTTGTAATAGCACAGCCCCCACTGCCACATCACTTGCATCTGCCTGTATTACGAAGGGCTTGTCCATGTCTGGGTGCCTTAGTACTGGTTCGGCAGAAAAAAGTCTCTTTAGTCTCTCAAACGCTGCTTGGCACTCCATTGTCCATGTTAGTGGCTGGCTAGGTTTTACTGAGGATGTTCCCTTCGTTTTTAGTAAGTTAGTGAGGGGCAAGGCTATCTGTGCAAATGAGGGGATGAATTGGCGGTAAAAATTTGCAAAGCCCAGGAAACTTTGTAGTTGCTTTCTTGTGCGGGGTGGTGCCCAATTTAGTACTGCTTTGACCTTCTCCGGGTCCATTTCAATGCCCTGTGGGGATATGCGATAGCCTAGGTAGTCTATCCTTTCCTGGTGGAATTCGCATTTTGAGAGTTTGGCATATAGGTGAGCGGCTCGCAGCTTCTTTAAAACCGCTCTGACAAGTTTGACGTGTTCTTCTTTTGTTTCAGTAAAGATAAGAATGTCGTCCAAGTAAACAAGGACCCCCTTAAACAGGTGCTCCCTTAGAACGTCATTGATTAATTGCATAAAGACTGCAGGGCCCCCTTGTAATCCAAATGGCAAGACTTTGAATTGATAGCACCCCATGGGGCAGTTAAATGCAGTCTTCCATTCGTCCCCTTCCTTGATTCTCACGCGATAGTAAGCTTCCCTTAGGTCTAGTTTAGAAAAAATTTTCCCTTTCGATAGGTGTGACAGCATGTCTTTCATGAGGGGCAGCGGGTATAGGTTGCTTTCACTGATTGTATTCAGGGCCCTATAATCCACGCATAAACGTAAAGAGCCATCCTTCTTCTCTCTAAAAAGGACCGGGGCAGCCACTTTAGGCTTGGCTGGCTCAATGAAACCTCTCTCCAGATTTTTTTTTATAAATCTTTCCATTTCCTCCTTCTCCTTTGGGCTCATGGAGTATAATCTGGGCTTCGGGAGTTTTGCCCCAGGCTTGAATTCAATGGTACAGTCTGTGGGTCGGTGGGGGGGAAGCTCATTCGCCCTCTCCTCACTGAAGACTTCAGCAAGGTCCCTATATTCCTCTGGTATTTCTGTTAATCTTTTTTCCTCTCCTATGGATGCTTTTTCTATTCTTGATTCTGGTAGCCTCCCTTGGGGTTTTAAGTCCATAGGGTCCCCCTTCGGGAATTTGATTTCTGTCGTCCTCCAATTTACCCAGGGGTTCCATTTTTTCAACCATTCCATCCCTAGAATCATTGGGCATTCCATACCTGGGGTCACCACAAACGTTAAGTCCTCTTCATGGTTGCCCAGGGAGAGGTGTATTGGCAGAGTGGCTAGGGTAGCTGGCACCCCCCCTGCTATGGATCCATCTAGCTGGCCAAATGAGATT